AAAAAAAAAAAGGAAGAAGAAAGAAAAGTGATTAACGCGAGATTCATTCGAAATTCGCTTAATGCAGTCTAATCACCCGTGTAAAGAGATCGTACACCTTTCTCCTCCCGATTTCTTTTATTCCTCTCTTTTCTTCACCAATTAACAAACGACCGGAGTCCAGGAGCGGAAGAAAAAAAAAATCATCGTGACAATTGCCAGCGTGTATCTCTCCTCCTTCTCTCGCACGCAATTCTCGACACGTTACTTCTCGTCTCGCTCTTTCTCGTCGATTCCGTTCAATTAAATCCGTCAGCCAATTCCAGCCACGAGTGGCACCGGGTACTCGACTTGTATCGGTTTCAGCCAATTACTTTCCGCCGGGGTTGTTGCGAATCGGCTGTTTTTGGCCACGTGCCCATTGTCACGCGCGAATTGGTCTTCCTCGATACGGGCTCGTTACCGTTCCCGTTTCTTTCTTTCTTTTTTTTCATTTTCTAAATAAAAAAGAAGAGAAAAAGATAGATTTGCGGTTAGCCGATACGTGTGCGCTACTACTCGTCGCATCGTACTCGCCAGAGACAGGAAATCGATCTCGTTTGATCCATTTTTCACGCGCGGAAAAAGGTAATGAAAATAAACGAAGAATAAAAGAAAGTTTGGAGAAAAATTTTGGATGTACAGATCGAAGAGGATTAATCACAAGTGTTTTCTGTTCTGATATAATAATTTATTTTATCTACAAGAATCGTTCGAGTTGACGACTAAACTCGTCGACTAACTGGAGAAAGTTAAAATCGGTTATCAGCGTTAGCAAACTATATCTCTAAAAAAAAACGCGGTTCATCCCCCCGTTCGTCATTGCACACGTAATCTCAAGTAATTCTCCTCCTTCTTCAACTCTTTACAATTACCCTAAGAGGAGTCTATGACACGTCTACTCGCTATCAGACTCACAACTAGACCCTCGTGCAACACGTTTCCCAACTTTCTTCCTCCTTGCCTAAAATTACAGTATATATATATAAATAACAAGCGAAAATTCACGGGCGATGAAATAATTAATCTCCAATCCCCTGGTGAAAAAACAAAGGAAGAAAACTACGACTACCAACTCCGTTCGTTAATTACATATGTACACTGTCTCGCATGCAGAGATAAATACACTGGAGAAATACAACTCCGTCACCACCTCTCACGCCCAGCCCCGTGAAACCATCTCCAAACTCCTCGTACATATCTCTCCATGCACTTCACTGTCTGCCGAGATCCTTCCTTCGTTCTATTCCCAGAACGAAACCGAATTCTTCTCCTGCACGATCATCCGCAGATCATCGATTCGACCAACAACAACTGCCGCGAACAACTCGGTGGCGAATTCGAGAATCTGGAGAATTCGGTGTGCTTCGTTCGATCCACGGAGGAGAGGTGGGCCCCGAAGCAGAAACGATCCTGGGACCGTGGCCTCACGCCGGGTTAGAGGGGGCATCCGTGGACGTAAGTGACGTTCCGGAAGAGGGCTGCGGCCGTGGAGAGGAAGGCGGCCGTGGAGGCGGTGGAGGGCGCCGGCGGCGGGGGCGGCGGGGGCGGATGGCTTTGGGTCTGGGTTTGAGCGTTGTACGGTGGACAGTAGGCGTCTATGCTGCCGTGGTGAAGGCCCACGCCTCGCACCAGCAACTCCTTCTCGACCGTCGCCTGGTGCCGGAGCTGCTCCAGCCGCAGCTGGTTCTGCCGCTTCCATTTCGTTCTGCGCCGAGAAACACACCCGTTTCCGGTTGATTTAACAAAGCGACATTTTAATAAAAGGCGGTGAAAGATCGGCTGGAAAAATCACCGAGCCTGATTTTCACGATACAGTAGAACAGTATCGATTATTTCGTTTGTCGGGATGAATTGTTTAATCGAGACGGATATTCTCTCAAATTTACCTTCTGTTCTGGTACCACGTTTTGACTTGGGTCTCGGAGAGGGACAAGGCGTCGGCCACGTCGCTTCGATCCGCCACGCTCAAATATTTCTGGCAGCGAAACTTTCGCTCCAGGTAGGCGAGTTGGGCATGGGTGAACGCGGTTCGCCTTCTTCTGGGCTTCCTGCCGCTGGGAGGGCCGCTGCTCGTTCCGCAGGACTTGCCAGACGTGGCCGGTGCCGGAGACGGCGAGAGAGCCGGCGGAGGGCTCTCCAATCTGGTGCACGGGCTGCTTCCAGGGTCGATCGTGTCCTCGGAGTCTGAATGGACGGCCGAATCGTCCTCGGAATCTTCTGGAAACGGTATATATCAGTTGCCTCGACAGTTGTCTGGACGAAAGAAAATTCAAGGGGAATCCGAAAATTTCGTGCCCCCATAAACGGATTCAATTAGCCGAACAATGGTAGGAAACGCGACTGATCGGTTTTCATCGCTTTTTGGCTTAAACGATCTCAATTAGGGGAACGATCGGTGTCTCGATCTCGGTTGGTCAATAAAGGCGCGACGAGGCGCAGCAGGCCGATGAAAATTCGGACTAACGAGAGCTAACGAATCCTTCCGCAGCCATCTGTAGGATCGTTTCGATTAATGGGGCGCCACCCTGCCAGGGCTCTGGACACCCTCGGGGCTGCGAATCTTGGCTAAAAATAATGGAGCCGCTCTGCGGGGCATCGCGTAACGAGGAGCCTGGCGATAGGCCACGCGACCTTTCGTCATGTGCAACGAAAATCTTGATTTTTTAATTATTCGTGTGTCTGGGATTCGCACGCGAATTATATATGATTCAAGGATTTTGGAATCGTTCTCTCGAGAAGCTTGATTGAGTTGAATTTTTTTAAAATGAATAAAACTAAGATAAGATAGGATTGTTCAGTTGATATTGGTGCACGAGAGTCGGCTGAAAAATAATTTTCGTATACGAAAATAGCGTATTTTCTTTCTTTCGAATAGCGTTCGTGATTGTTTCATCCGTCAACGTTTCTCTTCGATTCTTTGAGAGAAGGAAGCGGGAAACCTGCCATCCGTTTCCTCGAAAAAACGATACCGTTCACAAAGTCGGAGCACATTTATCGCAGAAAAAATTCAGCCGATCCTCGTACATCCAATCTAAACGCTACGACTACTGTACAAAATTATTCCATTTTCTCAAACTCACCGTGCACCCGCTCGGACAAAACATCCCCCAGAAGATCCCTTATGAGAAACGACTTGTGCTCCTGCATCGTTACACCTCGTCGAACTTAAAAAAAAAAAAAAAAAAGGAACGAACGAGTGGAAACGAACGATTACAGATCGGCGCGAATCAGCTGAGTTGAATAAATCGGTCGTCGATGGCGCGAGAACACCTCGATCGCGTGCGGCTCGAGTCTCATGCTAACGTGTGGACGCTCGGCGTCGTTCTGGGGATCGTCGTCGACGACGGATGACCGGATGTGCCCGTCCAAAATGCCCGGTATCCACCTCGCCATCCTCTTCGACAAGCGCACGTTGCTCGATACGCGAGGTGGGGGTGGAGGAGGAAGAGTAACCCCGCGCCACCCCGCTCCAATTAATCCGCCCGTTTATTTTGAACGGACTGCCTAATGCTCGCGCGATTTCGCAGCCATTTTGGGGGTGGTGGCGCCATGCCACCCCCGTTTCACCGCCGCTCCGCTCCGCCCATTGGTCGAGCTAACTCGCCGCCGAGGGGTGGAGGCAGCCACCGCCACGCGACGATTGGTCGATGGAAAAAGGGGGTTGAACCCTGCGTGCCGACTCTTGTCCGAACGGCAAGGGCAGGAGACGACGAGAGCAAGATCGACGGGATATTTGGCGCACGCTTCTCGCGGAGAAGCGCATCGAACCCCCGAGAAACGAGTGGGAGAAAGTCATTGGCGAGCGATTACCGCGAAACGAGAGGAACAAATTGGATGTGAAACGTTCTATGCCGTGCTATGTAAGAGAAATCGCGTCGCGATATCGAGATTGTTCTCTCCCTCCCCCCTCCCGAGAAGAAGAACAGAAGGCTTAACCGCCACTGTTTTCCCCGCTTTTCCGACTTTTGCAAAGGAGGGATATCTATGAACACGGTATCGCGTGTATCCTTCTTCTTGCCGCGCCATCTTTCCTCTCCTCTCCTCTCCCCGTTTTCCACCTCGATTCCCCGTTTTTCCGCTCCTCTCCCCCTCTCGGGATCGGGAGGATACAGCTAACGAAGTCAATTTGCTGGGCGAAACCATCGGGTTCGAGGAAAGTGGCGCAAGGTGCAACGCGAATGCGGGGATGCATTTGCATAAATACGGTCCTCCGCAATTTGCACAACCCTCCGCTTCGTCATCTTCCGCGGCTAGTATGTGAGCGTAAATATGCATGATGCATAAAACCACCAATCCTCGACACCGCCTTTCAACCCTCCCCAGCTCTCGCAGCGCCCCGTTAGTCTATTCACCACGTCGCTACTTATCTTTCCTGGGGGGTCATTCGCGCGACTCTATACGGCCCCGCCGTGCTCTCTCTCTCTCTCTCTCTCTATTCCATGTACTTTCTATATTCTAAACATTTCACGTTCTGTATACAAATATATGGTATGTCATATCCGTTGAATTCTCCTCGATCTGGAAAAATTAAAAAAAAAAAAAAAAAGGGGGACAGGACGAATCCAACGTACTTACGCGGGGGAAAGGCCCTTTTAGATCGGAAACAGATCGCGCCAGGCTATTTCCTATTTCCTTAAAGCGTTGCTTAATTAACGAATTTCATGAATTACTCTTCGATCTCTGTTCGCTTTTATACGAGGGCACGCTCGCGTCTTCGTAATTTCTGTTGCAGCAACGTTGCGGCAGATCTTTTGAATACTGATAATATTATCGCGCGGACTGCGGATTTCGATGCGGTTAAAACGTAGAAAATGTTGCTTAAGGTTGTACGATATTGTTTTGTTCAAGTATATGTTTGTAACGTGTTTGTGAAATATCTTATCGAGAATACGATAAAACAATAATAGTTTCTTCAGGATTTAGATTGGAAAAAATTAATTTTTAAGCTTCGCGTTATAGTTTATTTATAATATAGATTGATTGGATTTGTTTTTGAAAAGAATTGGATGTAATTTCTTGGTTTTTTATGTTAAAATGAAATTTAACTTGTGAATTAATTCCAGTGATTTTTAAGTGATTATCAGTTTAAACACATAACATTTCAAACAATTATCGTGTATTCAATCCTTCAAAGGAGAATTTGCATACAATTCATTATACAAATTAATATATATATATTCTATACTACATCAACAATCCTATGACGAAATATGTTTGATTTCATAGTATAATCAATCTTTATGATAAAATGACAAATCTTACCCTTTTATCATCTTATCATTTATTTAGCACGTATAAATATATATATATATATATAAATATGAAAAATGCAATATCGAAATAAATAATTAAATATTTAATCCATTGATGAAACGAGAAAGAAAAAGGTATTGTACTCGTGCAATTTTCGGCAACTCGAGGTCGCGTGGCGTCGCATAAATGCGACGTGAAGAAAGAAGAAGGAGCTTCGATGTGTATACATATGCACAGAGTGGTATATTTTAATGGTTTGCCTCGTGGCCTCGAGTTTGCGTACTGGCACCTGTAAGCGGAACCCTCGCCGATATACCCCAGGAGTCGGACACGACGGGGCGCGTTTGTGAATTCATTAAGATTAACGTATGCAGGGAATTAATTCAAGGGGCAGCAAAGCGGCTGGCCGTCTTCTTCGTGCTGGAAAAGGGCCTCGGAACGGCGGAAACGGTGGAAACGATGGAATAAATGCATAAAGATGGGATAAATTGAGCGGCGTCGAGCTGCGAAAATAAAGATGCTCCTAATAATTTTGATCATCGGCCCTTTGTGGGATAATTTTTAACGCTATGTCAATTTCTTCTCTGTGATCAAATTATCAGGCAAGAGTATCAGGCAATTTACGATACTAAAATATAAATATACTATTGATTAATAGAAATTATTTCTATTAATAGTTTCTTAATTTTTTTATTTCATTATTATATTTCTAGATTATTAAAAGTGATAATTTATATATAAGTAAATTCAAATATATAAAGTTTCATCATAAATTGAAAGCGAGTTATAATTTTTGTTTTAATTTATCTGATCTATTTATTTTTTCTATTTATACATGTATTTCTGATTTTTATTTTAATTTTAAAATTAATATCTCATCAGAGATATTATCTCTCTAAGATTCTAATATTCTTTTCTTTTATACATCTCTATTTATTATAACTAATTTATTAAATAGATGGATAATATTTTTATATAATATTTTTAGGTTAGGAAAAAAAAATATGAATAGATTTATTGTTCAGATTTATTCCAATGGAATATTTTTAATATTTCTCAAAAATATTAATTATTAATTTAAAATAGTGTTCTTTGATATTATATTATATCTATATGATTCAAATATGTTGACAAGTTGACAAAAACATTGTAAATTGTCGAATAATTTCTTGCACTCTAAGACTAGCATGGTTGATCGCATCTGTCGCGATTTAGAAAACGAAATCAATGGAAATTAGAGCGGAGGGTTTGATTCGAATTGCTTCGGAATCACCATCCCTTGTCGACTGATTGTTGTCGGTAATTTGCAATATTTGTTCCCCTGTGGGACACGAAATTTCATCTGGATGCAGCCACCTCTGGTCATGTTGGATAAATGGGATTCAATTCAGGGTGAATATCTCTTTCCGATCTTGTGGAGGGGAACGATCACAGATTAGAGGCAGAATACGTCCAATTATTTCTTCCCGCTGAGTATCGAGATTACCTAATGAATGATATACATAATTGCTATGCAAATAATACGTTTTGATTTCGTTTAATGTCATACGTAATTATTACGCTCGATAATAATCTATAAATAATAAATGTAATTTACATAATAAATACATAATAAATACATTAATAAAATAATTACATAATACATAACATAATACATAAATACATTACTTAAATAATAAATAATGAATAATAATTTATTGATATATAAAAATTATTTTTACTGATAAAATATGATGTTTATAACAATTTTTGAAAAAATTAAAATTAAAATAAAATGTAAAAAAAGTAAATGCATATTAATAACCAGATGATGTATTCATAAATAACATGTTCGTAAAAAATGAGACTAAAATAATAATAATGATTTATGAAAATTAATAATGTACATAGTTTTAATTGAATAAAATATATATGATGTACCCTTAACAATTTTTAAAAAATAATGAATGAAATTGCAAAAAATGTGGAACGCTTCACGATTTTGCGTGTCATCCTTGCGCAGGGGCCATGCTAATCTTCTCTGTATCGTTCCAATTTTAGTATATGTACTGCCGAAGCAAGTACATCTGGATTACAAACGACCTGGTATATATATGAACTATCATAAGATCGACCACTTGCGAGAAACAATTTCAAGGTAAAGGTTTACGCCATCTAGTGGCATATGATTCAATGATCTCTGATATCAACATGTTGCTTCAAATTTGCTAAAAATTTGATTAAACTCATTCTAGAAATGTCTTTCTTCTTAAAATTTAATGTAAATATAATAAAAAATAATATATAAAATAAAATATAAATAAAAAATCTAATATAAATAGAAAACGTTTTTTTTTTTATTTTATTAACTAAGGCATCGATTATTTTTTTAAGTGCGATCTCAGATGCGTTGGAGAGAACAAAGCATTGTAATTATTCGAGAAAAGGTTTTTTTTCCGTGAAAGGGCGTGAATGTAAATCAAATCCACGAGAAGCGAAGCTTGATCCGACGAAAGTTACCGAGTCTGAATGATTATCAATAACGGAGTCACGATTGTCGATCGAGTCGAGACGAATTGGTAAATACGGATAAAAAAAACAAAGAAGAGGATCACGGTGAAGCGATTTAGAACAGTGAGAATCGAAGAGCGAGTAGCAGGGGATGAGGTAAGGGGGTGATGGATCAAAACCACGATGCCGCGAGGGCTTCGAAATCGTTAACAATCGCGGCAAAAGCAAAATCCATTGAGATGCGACCACGCGTGTGAATATAACTGTCGATCTGAATATTCTGCACGGAGCAGCACCGTCCAGTGCCGTATTCGCGAAAAACGAGAGGGAAGCCAGCTCGTTTTCCATTCAGGAAAAAAAAAGGTGCGATTGAAACGAACGATTCTGTTTACAACGACTAACAATTCTTCGCTTGATGTTTCGAATATCGAATACGTGATATCTCCTCTTTTGGTATATTTTACATTGAATTCTTTTTTCCCCAGCATTTTTTAGATCGTGGAAACGCTCGATTCTTAAATCGTGTTCAAACAAATGGAACAAAGACTGATTCGCGCAATATTTTCCTCTTGAGAAAAAAATATCCTACGCGAATAAAAGAAAAGATGAAAGACGCGAAGTTGTATTTGCTCAGTCCATTTCTACGAGATCATGAGTTAAACACAGCAAACCATCGGTGAATATGTTCTTGTTTCTCCTCGAATGTACCAGCATTTATTTATATTCTTCCTTTCAGTTGCTTTTTATCGTTTCTATACATATTTCGCTAACAACGTTTTCAAGACATCGAGGCGCATTATCCCGGAGACAAAAAGAAGAATCAAAAACTCGACAATTTATCCGCAATTCTCTACATTAAACGTGAATATGAATATAAAATATAATATTTTTTCACTAAAGAATAAATTGTTGTTTCAAGTACTTTTAGTTTCTTAAACCTGAATCATAATCCGATCAAATTTTTATCTCTTTTCATATCGTTTAAGGTCAATAATTCTATAAGTGGAAGAATATTGTGTTGATTCGCTAAATAGAAACAATCAGAAGGTTTGTACGAGGATACGTAAAAAAATTCGGTAAAATTTCGTGCCCGGATATACAGCCTATTGTGTTTCTTCTTTCGCGCAGAGTAGGAGACACTCTCGAAGAATGATGGTTATGGGAAAAAGAGTGCTTGAACACGGACGTTGGTCAGGCTCCCGCGGTTCCAATTACGATTGAAAGGCGGCCCTGTTTGTTCGCTTCCTATAACTGCGGACTCTTCAGTACCTTGTACAAGGCACTCTTACCCCATGGCCACTTTCGAGTTTCGACGCGTGTGTTTCCATGACGAACACCGCGATTCCACCAAGCACAAAAATTCTCCTTTTTCCAGTCTACGGCAACGATTATTATTTCACCGAGAGTTTTTTTCTATTCTCCTTCCGTTTTGCATTAAGATATTTTCAAATAACCCGCGTTTTGTTATTGTCGTTTTCTACCTAACCTTCTTATACAAAAATCTTAGTTAAATAAATATGGCCGAACGATAAGACGCGTGCTCAAAGACTCGTGCGATAAAACTTTAATTTTGTAACAAGTGAAGTGTTTATCTAATTAATAAATAAAACTATTTCAAACAATACAATTAGTGTTATATAAAAAGTTCTTAAGTTGTTTTTTTTTGTTAATTCTTTCTATCAATATAATAAAGAATGAAATGAGTGATCCTTTGTGATGAATGTAAACAACTTTTGTTTTTAAAAGCTAAAAATCAGTTAAGTTTATGCATAAATTCTTCCAAGGATAGATTGTGTTTAGACGATTTATTTGATTTATCCTTCTATTTTGTCAAAATCGAGAATGATTGCTCGATAGTATCACGGCCCTGTTTTCGAGCTAAGTGCCGTGTAATCAAAGGATGATTGCTGACACAAAGACGGCTGATTGGCTCGTTTACGTTACGGTAATGCTCGAAGCTCGGTGGAACGTCTCTCGATACCGAGCTCGTTTCTCGTGGTAACGAGATTTCACCGAAACGTCCATGTTCTCATTAAAGAATTAAACGAGAATGTTCTCGTGAGACAGTAGTGAATATGAATAATAATTCATCATTAAGGAAACCATCGTATCAAGAGAAGAAAAATCTCCTCTTTAAATTAATAATCCGTGAATTCTTGTAAAGGTCCTCAAATCTTTCGTTAATTTCGCGTATCAAAAGATAGAGAAATAGCTTGAATCGTCTAATAATCGTTCTTTCTCCGTGTTCGAATTATATTCAAACGTATTAAGGTAAATCCTTTTCATTCAATATTTTTCATTATTCGTTCGATTCATACGATCTATTTTCAGTGTCTCGAAACAATGAATTTAAAATGAGAGAGAAAGAAGGGAAGAAGAAATAACGAGAGTTGGATGACTTTCTAGTCAAATGCAGAATGGTTTCAAAACCACAAATTGTTCTTGGGAGGTAGACAGTAAAGTCTTCAGCAGGGTGTCGCAAAGATACCACAAAGATGGTGTAGATTCGCGCGGCAAGCATCGATGCCATGAGAGGGTTGCTTGTTTACAAGCGACAGTTGATTTGACAAAGCCGTGGGTCCATTTATACGAGTGAATATTACAGGGCAAAGTCGAGGGGTGGCTTGTTATCCGCTCATTGAAGTTAACCACGGGGCTAAGTGCGCTGGGGAGTGCCGGTCGGTAGGAGCAAGGAGAACTAGTGACTAAAGGTTAGGTATATGTATACCGACGGAGGGGATAGCTTTGCAGTTTGTAGAGAGAATCGGTGAAACTCCGTGAGAAACTGAGAGAGAAAATTCAAACGGAGACAGATGGATACTAGCATAACGAATAAGAAACAGAGATGAAGCAACGAGGAAAGGAAAGATAGATGAAATACAACGAGTTGAAAAGAGATAAAAAAAGAAAATGTAAAATGAAATAGATCAAGAGAGAAAACAGATAGTGATGAATGCGACATAATCGTGATATCCATATATTTAATAAATGATATTTATAAAAATTGTCTATATATATATTGATGTCAAAATATTTAATGGTATGTTCTTTAATGTTTCTGTTTTTTTAAAGATTTAGTAAAAAAGTTCCTTCTTTAATAACCTGTAAAACTAATTTCTAATATAGATCACTATGACCATTCTATTGATGAGCTTTGAAATAATAACCTTTGAAACGCTAATGAAATTAGTCCCATCGCTAGAAGAGGGTGATGGAACGAAAGATGGATAACAGCAGGGTGGCCTGGAAGAAGATAGCGTTATGGGCAAAGAGGTGAGGAGGGAAGAGAGTTGGTAGAACATTGACGGGCCAATGAGAGGCCAGATCGTTGCCGAGGTAACCGCGGGGCTTTCCGACGGATTATTCGACCGAGATTGAAAAGTTAGCACCGTGCAACGGGCGGGGGCTCGTCGACGGAGCCACTCCTGTTTCTCCAGAACGAGCGATCTACTCGCGGCAGGGCTAACACAACGGATTAAGGCTTATTTTCACGTTTGTAACAGCTCGACCCCTTTACTCGATGCTATTATGTTACAACAGGATATCATGCAAATGCGCTCTTCGCGATACGAGATTCATATCTCGAAATTGTACGCGAATACGATAATGCTAGTATAATCTTTCACATTTATATTTAGTCGATATAATCTTTGACTTTTTTTTGATTGAGGATGAATTGAGGATAGATCTATATTCATATTCCATTTATGAAACATAAATTTGCGGTAATTTTCTTTTATTTCATTCCAAAATCATTAAGACTGTAACTAACTTATTTAATTATTTTTTCTGTTCTTTATAGATATATCCATAATAAATTGCTTAAAAAAAATCCCGTTTAAATTTATGAAACGATTATTTCTTTCAAAATTATTTGAATCTAACTGCTCATTTTCATTATATTCATATAACAAAAAAATGCTTTAAAAAATTCCATTGCAATTCATATAATCCATGAAACAGTTTTTTAAAAATTTTGCCTAATTGATTCAAAAAAAAAAAAAAGAAAAAAACGTTTGATAGCTATATTTTACTTCGGATTTTTTTTATGACAATTTTATAGACAAGATAACATGGTGAGATCGTCTCAGAATTGCTGGCAAAATGTTCGTCGGTGACGGGTCAAGCGTGAGTACGTCCCGGAAAAATGTTATTTTTGCAAGTATACGATGTACATAGTGTGCATCTAGCAAGCTGCTTACCTGATAACCACTCGGAGTTACCTGACACGTGTATAATTAATGCCCGTGATGACGAGGCGCGACACTCGCGCGCGCACGCTCGTGGATTATCTGTGCCGGCAAAAAAAAGCAGGAGAATGAGTTATGCGAAACTCAGGATCGCGAAAGGGAGGAAAAAAAAGAAGTGATAAAAGATGAGAGAGGAACAAACGCGTTGGAAGGAAGATGAAGCGATTCTTGCCGAATGGATGCCGAGGAGAACGAAAGGAAAGATCGGACTAGGGAAAGGGGAGTGACGAGCAGGAAAGTTGTCCAAGTAACCGACGTGGAAACGTGGGATAATGACTACTTTTTCATATTTTAATTACGCAGTAATTAATTGAAATGTTTCCTCATTCGTGAGAGCACTCGAGCAAAATGAGAGGCGAGTAACTCTCCGCGAAGTCGGCTTCGGTTCGTTTTTTTTCCTTTCTTCGAAGCAACTCTGCGAATTTTCTCTGTCTCTACTATGTTCGACCCGAGGATATTTCGTTTCCTTCGTTCTTTCACCTTTTCTCGCAAAATTAGGTAGAAATCCTTTCATGGAGGATTCATTTCTCTCTCTTTCTCTCTCTCTCTCTTTTTCCTTTTTAAAAATTCCAACGTGTGGCTAATTATATCACTAATGGCCTTATCGTGAAAGGATTCTTCTGATAATCTGACCTCTATGTCTCCAACACTTCTGTCATCGCACCCTTTTCCATCTATTATCCACAACCGTGTGCATCATGCTTAAAGTACTAATTAAATTAGTTTCGTAAAGCGAAACTCGTCGGCCAGACTTTCGATGCTATCGATTCGTGGCGATCATTAAAATAATTACAGATGTTCGTCTGTAATTGCACGGATACTTGGTTGCTTTCGCGTTATAAATATTGTCTATAAGTTGTCACGATGTTGTCAGTGATGATAACTCACGGAAACAGTTATTGAATGCTAAAATTTATATAATAAATAAAAAGAGATTTAAAAATGTTTGATTCATGTTAAGTTGTATTTATATAAACATAATATCATCATATTTTTATTGGAATTTATTGGTCGGATAATTTATATAAACATAAACTAAAATTTATATTTATATAAACATAATAACTAAATAATACAAATATAAAAATTTTTGTTTTTTTCAATTTCATAATTTTAAAATGATTGTTCTGTTCATTAGAAAGACAGTAGTATGTTTAATATAAGCTTCAATTTCATCTCGATGCAAATTGCTATAAGTAATATTGATTTGCAAAAGTAATGAATTTAAAAGAAAAAGAAAGTTTTCTGATTACATATTTTAATTAGATTTTTAGTTTAATTAGATTAAATTTTTAACTATAAAATCATCTATTTCTTATTCTCTCATGCAGATTATGTATCTGGTCTGATTTCACACAATTATCATTTATTCAAAATTTTAATAAATTTTTTTCAGGTGATTTTAAAATTATCAGAAAAATGGACATAGAAAAGTAATAAATATTTCAAAGAATAATAATTATTTCTTTCTAAATAAATAATAATTTTATATAATAATTATATATAATTATTATTTTTATTATTTTATTGCCAGCTATGCTTTTTAAAACAAATTCAACGATATGTAGGTATAATTATTTTTTATCAATAATATAATTGTTTTTTCTTAATAATTCACAAAATAATAACACGAGTAAATTGAACATATTATATATTAAGCTTCGATAAAATTCAATAAATATATCGTACATATAATTGTTTCACATTGGAAAGTATTTGCGTAATTTTCCAGCGGCTTAATTTTCAGTGGATTTCTTACGATTGTTTCTTAGAAGTTTACTCTTATTCGGTATTCCAGGGAACGTTTCGGGCTAGCTGTCTCGATACCTCGAGAGGTACGAAGGACGCTTCGTTACTCGTTACCTGATGCTGACGCTCGTTGCAGTAGCAAGAGAACAATAGCGAGACGAGAAATAAGAAGGAGACGGAGAGAGATAGCCAAAACGAGGACTGGTAGGCACGCTTTTGTTAGCGAGGATGCTTGCTTGCTATGTACAATTGTCATCTACTTGTTCCAGCTATTGTTTCCGGTAACTCTTTCGCGGTAACGAGGAGGAACCTCAATTAGAATGGTTTGAGGACTTAAACGCCCAGAGGCTGCCGGGTTTTAAGAGGTAACGAACATTGTTTCTTTTGAGCGATAACTCGGTGATACTTTTAGCTATATCGTGAAACATCGTGCACCAACTTCTTTGGTGGATAATTACTAGGCACGCTTGAGGGTATGATACTGTTACACTCTCTACGAATAAGTCATCGTTAATGTTATTAAAACTTTTCTTTTTAATTGATGTCAACATATTTTTTTTTAAATTAACACATGTTACCAACATAAAACTAAAACTTATAAAACTTGTTCGGTTAGAATAGATAAAATAATTGATATTAGACCCTTATTGAAAAATAATTTCTTATATGATTTTGATCGTGCATTTTAGAAAAATTTCATTTTACAAAAATTGAATATTTTTGATTATTTTTTAATAAATATCTTATACTGAAGATCGAATAATTTTCAAGTGATTTTAAATGAAAGAATTTTTAAGTATTTTTTATGACATATTTTTTAAATATTTTGCTATATAATATAACAATTATGACGAATAAATTATATTATTATAATTAGAAATATTTGTATTTGTTAAATATTTTAATAGAATCTTAAATTTTGTCTCATTTTTTACTGTAAATATGAAAATGAATACAATTATTATTTTTAATATGTTAATGTTATTAATTGAAAATATTATTCTATAATTAAAATAACATCATGTATTATAAAATTATATTAATCTGAAATTATATTGACATTTTGTATTTTTTTTTAATTTTATTTGTTTATTTTATTTGTTTGGTAATTACTTTATTTTTAATTAATTAATATTTTATTACTTATTTTTTATATTATTTTTTAATTACTCATATTTTATAAGTTCATTGAAATAATTAAAAAACATAGAACGATTCATTATTATGATTTAAGCTTGTTACTTATTTATATCTTAATTAAAAATAAATTCAATTACAGTATTTCATTATTTCATTAGAAATTTTGAATAGAACTAATAGATTAAGTAAAAAAATGATGATCTTAGATCTATTTTAAGTAAGAATAATA